GTTATTAGGCACTTGTCTTACACTTTTATTTGGTAGCTGAATATCGCAGGATATTAGAGTCTTTCAGTTAGCATTTATAAGCTCAGATGCCTGGAAGGGTGGTACATAGTTAATGGAAGTGAACATAGCAGGCCATATATTAGACAATATATATATATATTCTCTAACACTTTACTTACTATCCTTAGCCCCCAAGATGGCATAACCGAGGCTGGCAATGTGGTACAGCAGGCTAAGCCACTGCCTATGACAAAACTGGTGCCCTGTTCAAGCATTGTTCAACTCCTTGCTGCTCTGCTTCCCATCCAGATCCCTGCTAATGTGCCTGGGAAAGCAGTGGAAGCTGGCCTGGGTACTTGGGCCTCTGACATTCATGTGGGAGATCCCGATGAAACTTCTGGTTCCTGGCCTCTGCCGGGCCCAGCCCTGGGTATTGTAGCCATTTGGGGAGTGAACCAGTAGATGGAAGATCTCTCATGGTCTCTTTCTTAATCTCTGTATGCTTGCCTTTCAAATAAATAAATAAATCTTAAAAAAAAAGCATAATGAAATTGAAAGTAGTGGTGGCCACTCATGACAAATATGTTTTCAGTACCTGCTCTAAAATACTATCATCAAGTATTTAAGGAAATTGATGTCAATTCGATACTGTTTTTCATAATTGTTGTTATACAGATTATGGAAATTAAGTATTTTAATTAAAGAATACCAATCCAGTAGATGAATTGAAGAGAAACCAAATTATACTAAAGATGTTGGGATGTTATGTATTTGTGATAAAGGAGAACCACATTAAACAATTTTTAACAAAAAGTTATTTTCCGAGAAGATAAATAAAATAGATAAATAGCCAGACTAACAAAGAAAAGAAAAAGTCAAATAAATAAAATTATAAATGAAAAAAGAGGTATTACAACTGATACCAATACCACAGGAATAAAAGGATCTTAAGAAACTACTATAAAAAACTATATGCTAACAAATTGGAACGCCTCAAAGAAATGAATAAATTCCTGAATATATATAACTACCAAGAATAAGTCAATAAGATACAGAAAACTTAAACAGACCTATAATGAGCAACAAGATTGAAGCAGTAATTAAAACTCTTCCATCAGAGAAAGATCTAGAACCCGATGGCTTTACCACTGAATTTTACATAACATTTAAAGAGGAACTGACTCCAACACTTTTCAAACTGTTCTAAAATACTGAACAAGATGGAATTCTCCCAAACTTTTTATCAATCTGATACCAAAATTGAGCAAAGACACAACACAGAAAGAAAATTAAACACCAGTATCCTTGATGAACATAGATACAAAAATTCTGAGTGAAATACTAGCAAACTGAATCCAGCACAGCATTAAAAAGATCATACATTATGACTAAGTGGGATTTATCCAAGAGATAAAGCAGTTCAATATTCACAAATCAATAAACATTATACATCACATCAACAGAATGAAAAACAAAAAACATGTGATTATCTCACTAGATGTGAAGAAAGCATTTGATGAGATTCAACATTCCTTCATAAAAGTCTTTCATAAAGTAGATATAGAAGGAATGTACCTCAAAATTATAAAGGCTATAATATGACAAACCAACAGCCAATATCATACTGAACAGGGAAAAGCTGAAAGCATATTGCCTTAAATCTGGTGCCAGACAAGTATATCCACTTTCTCTACTCTTGTTCAAAATAGTATTGGAAGTATTAGCAAGAGCAACTGGGTAGGAGAAAGTTAAAAAGGGCATTGAAGTTGGAAAAGAGGAAATAACGGTATCCATGTTGTACATGGAAAAACCCAAGCACTCTACCAAAAAATCTTTTAGAACTGATAAAGCAATTCAGTGAAGTTACAGGTTACAAAATCAACATACAAAAAACAGTAGCAATTTTATATACCAATAATAAACTTGTTGGAAGAGAAATCAGGAAAGAAATCCCATTCACAATAGCCACAGATAATCAGATTCAGGAATAAATGAAACCAAAGAAGTGAAAGATCTCTATAATGAAAACTCTAACACATGGATGAAAGCACTCATCAGGGACACACATGCAAACATGGAAAGATATTCCTTACTCATGGAATATCATGAAATGTATATACTACCTAAAATAATGTACAGATTCAATGCAATCCCTATCAAAATACCAATGACATTCTTTACAGAATTAGAACAGTCAATCTTAAAATTCAAATAGACTCACAAAAGGTCCAGAATAGCCAAAACAGCCCTCAGGAAAAAAAAAGTCAAGTTGGAGGCATCACAATACCTGATTTCAAAGCATATTACAAAGCTATCAAATTAAAACAGCATGGTAGTGGCATAAAATCATTATATAAATCAATGGAACAGAAAGAGAGTTCAGAAATTAATCCACATACATATGGCCAATTAATTTTTGACAAAAGTGCCCAAACATGCATTGGAGAAAGGATAATCTTTTCAATCAATGGTGCTGGAAAACTGGATGTATATATGTAGAAGAATAAAATTAGATCCCTACCTCTCAGTATATACAAAGATCAACACGAGATGGATCAAAGACCATGAAACTACTAGAAGAAAATACAAGAGAAACACTCTAGATGCTGGTGTAGGTGATGACTTCTTGAATAAGATCCCCAAAGTGCAGGCAACAAAAGCAAAACTAGACAAATGGGATTATATCAAGCTTAGAAGCTACCACATGGCAAAGAAAACAGTCAATAGAGTAGAGAGACACCTGAAAGAATGGGAGAAAATATTTGCAAGCATTCTTTCTGATAAAGGATTAATATCTAGAATATTAAACTCAAAAAACTCACAACAAAAAAGCAATCAGTCCAGTTAAGAAATGGGCAAAGGACCTGAATAGATAGTTCTCAAAAAAAAAAAAAAAATGCAAATGGCCAAGAAATTCATGAAAAAATGCTCAATATCACTAGCTGTTAGGGAAATACAAATTAAAGCCATAATGAGAGGGGGCTGGTGCTGTGGCATAGAGGACTAAGCCTCTGCCAGCAGGGCTAGCATCCCATGTGAGCATCATTTCGAGTCTCGGTTGCTCTACTTCTGATCCAGCTTCCTGCTAATGCGCTTGGGAAAGCTGAGGAAGATGGCCCAAGTGCTTGGGCTCCTGCACCCACACGGGAGACCTGGATGAAGCTCTTGGCTCCTGGCTCTGGCCTAGCCCATCCTTGGCCAGTGGATGGAAGATCTGTCTGTCTCTCTCATTTTCTCTCTGTATCTCTGCCTTTCAAATAAATAAATATAAAAAAAGAAAACCACAAGAGATATCACTCTACCCTTTGTCAGAATGGCTATCATCCAGAAGACAGAGAGCACCAAATGGCTGAAGAAAATGTGGGGAAAGGGAAACTCATATACTCTGTGAGTTGTACATTAGTATAGCCTCCATGGGAAGCAGTGGGGAAATTTGTTAAAAAACTAGAAACAGACTTGCCATATGACCCAGCAAACCCACTACATACTCAAAAGACGTGAACCCATTGTATGAAAGAGATACTTAGTGCACCATGTTCATAGCAGCACTGTTTACAATAGCCAAAATATGGAATCAATCAAGATGTCTCAGATTAATGGATAAAGAAAATGTATTTTTTACACACACACACACACACACATACACACACGAAGATAATTTTATCACTTGCACAACACTGACTGGAACTGGAGGACATCATATTGAGTGAAATAAGTCAGACATGGAAAGAAAAATACTGCATAATCTCCCTCCATTTGTAGGAGCTACATTTAAAAAAAAAACAGCTAAATGAAAAATACCTGTGTGCATCAGTTGCACTGCAAATATAGTACTCTATCAAACTCTGAATTGTCTTTGTCAAACAAATTGATAGCAATTATATACTACTATTATATACTACAGTTTAGTGATTTTGTGACTATTTTAAAATTTACCTTATATGAATGAAGTGGAACATTTTTTCATTTGATTATTGTGTATAGCCCTTGCCTATTTTCCTGCTGGACTACGAGCTTTGTACTTTTAAAAAAATTTAACTATTTAGGAGACTCATTAAGCCTTTGATTATAATGTAGTTAAAAATGTTATCTTAAAAATAAATATAATATTAGGTTGAAAAAAATTCTACAAGAGGAAATGTAAAATCTAGTATGTCTTAACACAGGATCTGTGCTTGCCTTTGTCCTAATATTTCTTTTTTCAATGACATTTCACATTATTCCAATCTTCTACTTGCCTTTTCTTCAACCAGTTACTCTGATCAACCATGGATTATAAATTAGAATGTCTACAATTCATGCATTGCACCCATACAGTTCTGATATTTCTAAAGAGTACAACCTAAGAAACTATAAGAAAGAATAGGCTTCAAATAGGCAGAGTTTCCTAAAAGTTTACTGAAAAACACTGAAGGATGATAAAAGACCTATATTTTTTATTTAATGGGGCAATTTCTCATGGTGGTTTAAATTACACACTTACTTTGGCCTCAGACTGGCACTGGTTCAGATTTCTGCACTATTGAGTGATCTTGGAGAAGTTATTTGGCCTCTGTAAAGTTTCTATTTCCTCATATGTGAAATGATGGCACTATTCCCTGCTCCATCAGGTCCTAGAGATTACAGAAATAAAATGCCTCGCACATCATAGGCAGTCGGTGAAATACGGTAATGGTAGAAGTGGTGCTGATGGTGGTGGTGACAATGATACCAGTGGTGGTGATAGTGATAGTGGAGGACGTGGTGACTCACGTCTTCAAGAAAACTTCAGAGCTTTTTAACAGGCAGTGAGAATTTCCTTTAAATGAGTTCTTAAGAGGAATCCCAACACCAAACAGATAAGCAAGAGTACGAGAGCTGCCTTGCGCATGCAGCCCTTCCCCTCCTCCCTGCCAGCTGTCTACCATGGTAGCCTCATGGATTCTCAGCACTCAGTGAAGCATAGTTTGCATGATATGGCAAGGAACTGGCAAAGAAATGGCAAGGTCATCTTTGCTTACTTTAGGTCCAATGGAGGCTTAATGTTTCTGGGAGGTAGGCTTGGGACTGGCGGCTGTGTTGGGTGAGATGCTGGCAAAGGTGGTTGGCTTGTTGGATGGGATGGTGGAGGTGGTGGCAGGGACGTTGTTGAATAAGGCATCTGGCCTTTGTTGGCATCTAAGAAAGAGAGCAAACAACACCATGAATTAAGAAAAATTTCCAAATTATAACAGCTAGCTATTCCAAGTGCAGATCTGGAATTAAAAAAAAATGCAAGAAATGTGTCTCAAATGGTAGAGTTAGAAATGTGCCAGGGGATTCCATTCAATTCCATCAAGATTGCATGTACCAATGCCATCTCACTAGTCCAAGTGATCAATTTCAGTTCACAATTGATCACACTGATAGGTCTAAGAGTCAAAGGGATCACATAAACAACACTAGTGTCTGCTAATACTAGCTGATAGAATAAAAAAGGGAGAGAACGATCCAACATGGGAAGCGGGATACACAGCAGACTCATAGAATGGCAGATGTCCTAAACAGCACTCTGGCCTCAGAATCAGACTTTAAGGCATTTGGATCTGGCTGAAGAGCCCATGAGAGTATTCTAGGCATGGAAAGCCAAGACACTCTGGCAAAAAAAAAAAAACAAAAAAACAAACAAACAAACAACAACAACAACAAAACACAAACCTAAATGAAAGATCTCTGTGAGTGAGATCCCAGAAGAAAGAAAGGGCCATCAAAGGAGGAAGTACCTTTCTCTGAAGGGAGGAGAGAACTTCCACTTTGACTATGACCTTGTCTAAATAAGATCGAAGTCGGCAAACTCAAGAGGCTTCCATAGCCTTGGAAACTCATGACTAGAGCCTAGGGGGATTACTGACGTCATAAACAAGAGTGTCAAATTGTTAATTCAACAACAGGAGTCACTGTGTACTTACTCCTCATGTGGGATCTCTGTCCTTAATGTGTTGTCCAATGTGAATTAGTGCTATAACTAGTACTGAAACAGTATTTTACACTTTGTGTTTCTGTGTGGACGCAAACTGATGAAATCTTTACTTAATATATACTAAATCAATCTTCTGTATATATATAAAAAAAGAAATGTGTCTCTAATCGAATGAATACTTTAAAGAGTTTAATATTCTGGAGTGGGTGTTGGTGTAACATTTAAGACACAGCTTGGGATACCTACATCTCAAATCACAGTGTTGGTTTGAATCCTGGCTGCGCTCCCTGGATATGTATTAGCTCCCTGGATATGTATTAGCTTCCTAGGAGGTAGCAGCTAATGGCTGAAGGACTGGGGTCCCTGCCACCGATGTGGGAGACCTGGGTTGAAACTCCAGCTCCTGGTTTTGGCCAGGCAGCTTCAGACATCTGGGGAGCAATCTAGTGGATGGGAGATCTTTTTGTCTTTCAAATAAAATAACTAAATACATAAATTAAAAAATTTAAGAGTATAATATTCTAAATATCATGGGACATGACATTAAAGATGTTTTGTTCCTTTATTTGAGAGAAAGAAAGAGACACACACATAGAGCTCCCATAAGCTGGTTCAATCCCTAAATGCCTGCAAAAGCCATGGCTGGTCCAAGGCCAAAGCTGGGAGCAAGAGTTTATGTCAGGTTTCCCATGTGGGTGACAGGAACCCAAGGACTTGAGTCACTACCACTGTCTTCCAGGGTGAGCACTAGCAGGAAGCTGGAGTCGGCAGGAGAGGTGAGGCTGTCTTGTTTGGTATCTTTACCACTGCACCAAATATCCTGGGATATTACATTTTGTATGTTGCATTTCTTGCAATAGATAATTTTTTTTATTTTAATTCCCATTATGAAAAATCATTTCTCTTACCTTTTCTCAATTTTTGTAAAGATAAGTTTCAATTATCTAGATTTTGTAAACAAATCTGTGCCTACTTTTATACCTCTATCAACTTTAGGATCTTACAAATATAGATTATCTTTCCTTAGACTCATTATTTTAGATCAAAGAAGTTTAGCGTTCCATCTATTCTCATGGTTACACACTTTTATTTGCTTTCATGATCTCCTTGGATATTTAATAAGTTCTGTTTTTTTTTTTTTTTGAGATGTGATTTTTAAACACTGAAACAAATTAAATATTACAAGTACATCATGTGCATTGTAGAAGATAACATAGGGGCCAGGACTGTGGCCTAGAGAGTTAAGCCTCTGCCTGTGGCGCTGGCACCCCATATGGGTACTGTTTCAAGCCCTGGATGCTCCACTTTTGATCCAGCTCTCTGCTATGGCCTGGGAAAGCAGTAGAAGATGGCCCAGTGCTTGGGCCCCTGCACCCATGTGAGAGACCCGAAAGACGCTCACGGCTGCTGGCTTCGGATCGGCCCAGCTCCAGCCGTTTGGGGAGTGAACCAGTGGATGGAAGACCTCTCTCTCTGGCTTTCCCTCTCTCTGTAACTTTTTTGAATAAATAAAATAAGCATAAAAAAAGAAGATAGTGTGAAGATGAACATACCAAATAAATATCATTCACTCATAATCCCATCATTCAGCCATGAATTGTAGGTATTTTAGAAAAATTTGTACAAACATACACTTTTATGGGAGGGAGAAAAATATGACCATTTTGCTATTTGTGGGGAGCAACTCGGACTATACTGTTACTGGAATTAAGACTTATTCTATGCATCTGCTCTCCCACTGTGGGGAGCAACTCGGACTATATTGTTACTGGAATTAAGACTTATTCTATGCATCTGCTCTCCCACAATATGGCGCTGGGAGAGAAGAAAGAGGCTTCTACACAGCTGCCTCCAGTTCAACCAAGGAACTGTAGGACTTGCTCGTGATTGGAGGAGAGCAGCGTACTCGGCGTGTGGGCACCCGAGTTAGGATTGGTGGAGGAGGACTATAAAGGAGGAGAGAGACGGCATGCACCAGGAACATCTATGGGGAACATCTAAGGGAACCCGTGCAGCCCCCGAGAAAGCCGGCCGGCGGTGTGCCGCTCCCCTGCGGAAGTGGGGAATGTGGCCAGGGGGAACCGCCCTTCCACGGAGGTGGAAGGGACAGTAGCCAACCCGGGAAGAACCAGCAGCAAACCCGGGGAGGGCCGAGCAGCAGAAGAAAGAACAGCGCAGGGTCCTGTGTTGCTCCTCCACGAAGAGGGGGAGCGACAGCTATTTGCTGCCACCTTTTTATTTTTTTCACAACATGAACAAATATGTTTCCGTAAGTACAATGGGATTTTTAGTAACCTTTCTGGGCAGGCATTTGGCTCAGCAGCTAAGTCACTGCTTAGGGTCCCACAGCCCTGGTAGGAGTGCATAGTTTGAGTTTCTGCTGCTTTGTTCCCTTACCTAGCTTCTAGCTGTGCACACACCTGGAAAGGCAGCAGGTGATGGCTCAAGTACTGGGGCCCCTGCACCCACGTGGAAGATCCGGATGGAATTGCAGGTTCCTGGCTTCATCAGCCTGGCCTAGCCCTGTTGTGGCTGTTGTGGGCATTTGGTAAGTGAAGCAGCAAATGAGATACCTCTTTATGTTTCTCTGCCTTTCAAATAAAATGAAAATAAGTAATTGCTCTTCCTTCCTTCCTTTCTTAATCTCCTTCTCAGTTTCTCTTTATATAGTCACCAGGACTGAAAAATTAGGGCCTCTGTATTGTATGTTTGTGTTATTACTTTTCATTTTCTGTTTTAATAAAAACATGGAAAAATCTTTGGACCTATCTTTAAAGGTTTTTTTTTTTTCAGAACAAATTCCTGTAAGTAAAAATGCTCACTTACGTAGAATTGTTATGGCATTAGAAACAAAATATCAAATTATCTTCCTGAGACACCAACAGACAGCTTCATCAGTTAGCACCCACAGTGCCCATTCTCACATGTTTCTATCAACAGTGGCAGCGTCATCTCCGGATCTTAGACAAAATTGTGAAAAAAATTCTACTCTACTGATTTCATTACATTTTTTTGTTAAGAAATATATGTTCGGAATGAACAAGTCAGATAATGCCAAATAACACAACAACAACAACAACAAAGCATTCCATTCTCCCTACTGGAGGTAATGACTTCTAACATTTTAGATGCTTCTTTTGCATTTAACACAGTATTTCTTTCTTTCTTTTTCTTTTTTTTTTTTTTTTTGACAGGCACAGAGTGGACAGTGAGAGAGAGAGAGAAAGGTCTTCCTTTTGCCGTTGGTTCACCCTCCAATGGCCGCCGCGGCCGGTGCACCATGCTGATCTGAAGCCAGGAGCCAGTGCTTCTCCTGGTCTCCCATGTGGGTGCAGGGCCCAAGGACTTGGGCCATCCTCCACTGCACTCCCTGGCCACAGCAGAGAGCTGGCCTGGAAGAGGGGCAACCGGGACAGAATCCGGCGCCCCGACCGGGACTAGAACCCGGTGTGCCGGCGCCGCAGGCGGAGGATTAGCCTAGTGAGCTGAGGCGCCGGCCTAACACAGTATTTCTATTACTGCATGGGTATGGCTAAAGTTTGATTCATGATTTTTAAAAAGATTCTTGACTTTCTGTTTTTTAGATGTCTATTTTTGCTTTCTCCTACTTCCAACACAGTGAGAATATTTTCGATGAAATCTGCAACCATTGCTTTCGCTATGACTACGCAAACACTGTTCTTTGCTGAGTCAAACACTGTACTATGATTACATTTTATTTCTCATCCAAGTTATGGTTTTCCTGGAGTTGATAATTGCCTCGTTTTGTGATTTGCAAAGAATTTCCTTTGGAACTTTTTTCTTCTCACAGTTTTCAATGGTTCTGTAAAATGCCATTGTCCTTTTTCTATAGCACTCAACCTGTCAGTAGCAGTAGACCGTGTCTGTCGGCTTGCTGTGGTTGCTTCTAAGTTCTCCAACACCGCTGTCATTTCTCTTGGCCAGCGTCAGGGCTCTGATGCACTGATAGAATGCACTGTGATGAAGAGTGTGGAGCCAGAGTGCCTGCATTTGAACCCTAGCACCAATACTTACCTGCTGATTTGGATCAACTCCTTTCTGGTTTCATCTATAAAATGGAGATAATAGTAGGGCTGCCTCATGGGGTTGCAATGAGGACTTAGGACTTAACCTACATAAAACACTTAGGACAATGTCTGACATACAGTATGCTCAATGTTTTATTTTTCATTCAACAAATTTTATTGAGTGTCTATGT